GAGAGTCACGTGCCTCATCAAGCCCAGATGCTGCCATCAGCATGCAGAGTATAAAAGGGCAGCAGAGCTGAGGTGATGTGTCTGCTCAACTACCCATGTTGATGGACCTCAGCAGGATGGTGCTTTGGTTTGGACTTTCAGACATGTGGATTGACCTTGGACTGGGCACTTGACTGACTGATTTGCTGTCCAGGATAACAAAAAACTTCAACACTGGACCAGGAATGGTAACTCTCAAGTTCATGTAACTGGCCAGCCCTCCATTAGCCAAGACATTAGTGTGTGCAATGTGTATTTGCCATCAGTTACTGACTGCAAACATTTCAATAATAACACCCTTTGTTGTTCAAGATAGAATAAAATACCCCCCCCCAAAAAAATAATTCCCAACTGTCCTTTGTAAGAGATGAAATTGTGAATTTTGTGTGGGTGTGGGTGCCTGTGTCTGTCTGCCTTTCAGCATTCCTTATTTTCTGTCTGCCTTTCAGCAATGTATATTCATCTATACATCTAAACAATGCTTCATTAATCATAGATGGTCTAAATGTAACGCTCAATTTTGTTGTTTCCCTTCTACTATGAGTGTCATTTATTTTCATTAAACTTTTATCTAAATGGGGCATAGCTACCTTTTTCATTTGTGCATAGTTGAGGAACTTATTTGTTTCAGTAAAACTAGCTTAAAAGGGAGAAATTATAACCCTGCTATATTTTTTTTTATTAATATTTATTAGTATTTGCATAGAGTTCCTATGCAACTGTCCTGCACAGTCACTGACTTGCAAGATAGAGGCCATATTGTATTATATAGTGATTAGCATATAATATGTATGTATGTTTCACAGTCCTATATCTGCTCAGAAATAAGCCCCAATGAGTTCAATGGTATGTGTTAATAGGATTAGCTAGATAAGTGTTAATAGGATTGAAGCCTTCGAGTTTGCACTCAGTGTGCCAGCATCCAAATAAGAGTTGCACATAGACACAAGACTTATTCACAAGCGCATAAGCTGAGGAGGAGCCATCCTGTTGCATGCATTTGTGACTTAATTGGCATTCTGCTTGTGTGAGTAAGCTGCACACGAGAACACTGCTGCCCTCTCTGTGTACCATGGGAACTGAGTCTGGCTTAATTGAATTGATTCTGGCAATTGCAGAATAGTAAACTGTACCAAACCCTTTGAATACAAAAGAGCATTGTGCCTGCCAGAATAGTGAAGACTTATTTTCTGTCGTAGGGTAAAACTTCTATGTTGGTCTTTTTTGTGTCAATGCTCACTGTTTCACACTACCCATCTAATTATTATTATTATTATTATTATTATTATTATTATTATTATTATTATTTATACCCCACCCATCTGGCTGGGCTTCCCCAGCCACTCTGGGTGGCTTCCAAAAAAATATTAAAATACTGTAGTACATTAAACATTAAAAGCTTCCCTAAACAGGGCTGCCTTCAGATGTCTTCTAAAAGTCTGGTAGTTGTTGTTCTCTTTGACATCTGGTGGGAGGGCATTCCACAGGGAAGGCGCCACTACTGAGAAGGCCCCAGCTGAAATGGGAATTGAAGGTTTTATATTTGACCCATTTAGAATGGGTTTATAAGACAGCTGCAATGGAGGAGTGTGTCTTTGGAGGTGAAGTAAAGCTGTTGGAAGGTTACAAGAGAGCCAGTGTGGTGTAGTGGTTAAGAGTGGTGGGCTCGTAATCTAGTGAACCGGGTTCGCGTCCCCACTCCTCCACATGCAGCTGCTGGGTGACCTTGGGCTAGTCACACTTCTCTGAAGTCTCTCAGCCTCACTCACCTCACAGAGTGTTTGTTGTGGGGGAGGAAGGGAAAGGAGATTGTTAGCCACTTTGAGACTCCTTAGGGAAGTGATAAAGCGGGATATCAAATCCAAATTCTTCTTCTACAACACCTGCTGTGGCTGTAGAGACCAATACATCCTGTTGTTCTGCTGCAGATGTACCATGATGTTTCTTCTCTCTGTGCCCCTCCCAGCAGTCATTCCTCCCCTGGTCGCTGCTGTGGTTACATGACCTGTCTCCAGGCATTGCAGTCGTTTTCTTGACTGTTGGTTCAAAGGCTTTCTTCTTGCCTTCATATATTTTGCAAGTGTTTCCTGTGTCAGCAGTGAGTTGAATGCTCTGGCACAGCTTTAGTCATTGGCACATTGTCTGCAAAACATTATTATTATTATTATTATTATTATTATTATTATTATTATTCATTTTAATAATAATGGCCTCATTGCATGTCCAGGGCTTGAAGCAGCAACAGTACATTAAAAGCATGCATAATAACCACAGTCACCTGAATTTTTTAAAATGAAACCAAAGAAATATGAAAACCCAACTCTACCTGGTCAACTTACCAATCATAGGAACCAAAAGTCAGACACCCTCACCACCACTTTAGGAGACGGCTAAGACTCTGATGTGGCTACATCGGCAGCAGATGATAATATCAAAGCTGAGGGCACACCACCCTTCACTGAAGTGTCCTAGATCTCCTAACCTACCACACAGTAAGTACGCTCAAGAAGGGGGCTTCTGGCAGAACGGAGATTGTGATGAGGAATTACTGCTCAGTCCTATGCAGTGTTGAGCAGACACTGGTCCATTGTAATACTAGAAATGTGTCTGCAAGTTGGAAGTTATATGGAAACCACTAAGTTCTTAATAGCGGGTCAACTTTATGGTGCTCTGTTTTTCTAGGGTTTAGTTGTTCAAACTGTTGACCCAAGAATTGCAGGCGTACAACATATTTCTTCTTTGTATTTTAAGATTTAAATAAGGAAGTACTCTGTGCACACACAGTGTAGTATAACTTATACACAAGCATACGAGCAGGCTGAAAAAGACAACAACAGACAGTTTAACATTCCTGTTTGCTTCTCTAGTGCAGTATTTTAATCCTGCAACTAGATAATTGAAATTGGAGAGAGGGGAGCACACCAATGCTTGAGCTTTCTTCTTTTTATTTGTGTTACTTGACTGTAGGGCCTAGTGGGAACAAATAGGGACTCATACACACAAAACATGATAGGACTCCAAAGTGCTAGGCAGGCAGCTACCCAACTAGGGTAGACTTCAATTAGCATGCATTATCCAGGGTTGTAAGAACTCTTCACTTTGGCAAGAGCTCAGACATTCTTTCTTTGCACTGGGAATTTGCTCATCTCTTTCAGAGACCGTTTAATGAGCTTTATTCAACACAACAATACAATACAGAAAACAACTGTTCATGCTAGCTCATAAATAGGTGGAAAACCAAGATACAACACAATAATTTTTTGGTTTTCATTTCCCCTTAATTGAAATTATATTCCATTTAACTAAAATTACATCAGTAGGTAGAAAATATTTTGGACAAATGCAGGAACTAAGAAAATATGCATTTAGGTAAAATAAGTATTGAATCCAATTTAGAGAAGCAAACTTTCATGATATTTATACAGATTCCTTTCTACTTATTTTGCTTTTTCCCCCATTTCAATAGCTACAGGGTTAATGTGGTATAGTTTTTGGAATGCCAGAGTAGGCTTGGTGACACCTGGGTTCAAATCCCCACTCAGCTTGGAAGTTCATTGAGAAACTTTGAGCAAATCATTCTTTCTCAGCCAAAACCTCCTTCAGTGCAGTAGTTGTGATGATAAAATGAAGGGGCTGGAGAAGACTCATATAGACCACTTTGAGGTCTGTGAAAGAAAGGTGGGATAAAAAATATAAATAATAAAAATTAAAATAATGTACAGTGGTTCCTCGAGTTACAAACGCCTCAGGTTACAAACGCTTCAGGTTACAAACTCCACTAACCTGGAAGAGTTACCTCAAGTTGAGAACTTTGCCCCAGAATGAGAACGGAAATCTTGTGCCGGCGGCGCAGCGGCAGCAAGAGGCCCCATTAGCGAAAGCATGCCTCTAGTTAAGAACAGTTTCAGGTTAAGAACGGACCTCCTCCGGAATGAATTAAGTTCGTAACTAGAGGTACCACTGTATGTTATATAAATACATCCATAATCTAGAAGTCTGAGAAATATATTTTATTTATCAACTTCTTGAGTAGCCTAAAGTCTTCCCGGTACCACGTTATTTTTTGATAAGTCCACTATATGATTTCTTTCCAAATTTTATATGGATGATGAGAAAACACCAGTTTTGTAATCTAATGAGTGCAGTCATGCCGCGGTACTTTTCTGAAAGATTTTGTTAAGTGATTATAATTCCTTGATCTGCCAATCTGCACATCAAAAGAATCTGCTTTGTTTAAATACTGTATCTACCAAGATTAATTTAACAGAACAGGTGAGGAAAGATACTCTACAATCTAGTAATTTTAAAAACTAGTTTGGGGGCCTATGTTAAAATCTCCAACAGCCCCATTTTTATCTAATGCTAGATCAGCAGCTGCTGTGGCAGCAGAATCCCCAGATGAAAGGCAGAAGAGATAAAAGGAAAAAAAGAATGTTTATTAATTAACTTCAGTTATTTAATGGGCTGCTCTTCCAATTCACTCTATCTAAAATTACTGGCATGTATTATGGTCTGCAGATGGGTTGACTGAGGGTGTGCATATGGCTGTGAATTTCTAGCACATAGATCATCATTTTGAGCATGTTGAATGACTGGATTCTGGGAATGGAATTGTCCACAGTTGTTTAATATAAAAAAGAACGTAACGTGGTGCATTGCATGAATTGTTGCAATAATCCACATAAAGCTCTGTAAAGATTCACCTATATTCTTTGTGTATAGGTGATATGATTTGAAGAAAAAATACTCCCAAGTAGCAGTCATAGCCATAGTAGTAATATAATGCTTAACATTAGATATTGATAAAATAATAAAATAAAAAGCATAATAGTATGACAAATTCTTCATGCCACTGGTGCAAAATATCACATTTTAAAATCAGCCTATGTTCGCCACTCCCCTCTCTCTCTTCATTGCCTATGCAAAAGTTAAAGGAAGGGAACTCTGACACATTTTTTTTTCATTGATTATTCTTGGAAAATGAAAAGGTGACATCGACTCTGCCTCTGTATGCAAAATTGAGCCATTAATTCTTTTTATTATGTTTTATTTAAGATTTGGTGCTACCTTGACCTTGTGTTGGCCTTCTGTGTATGGAATTAATTGTATAAAGATCAAGTGCTTAGTTTACCTCATTTTAATTCAAAAGTAAACCAGTATATCCAACCATTGCTATAAATATAGAAGGGCAGTGTAAAAAAATCTGACAAGTATTGAAGAAGCACTTCTTTAGAAGCATTTTCTTCCAGAGAAGGTGTATAACAGGAACACAGGGAGCTGCCTTATATTGGGTTAGACCATTGGTTGTTGCACTCACAGAACGATTTCCATTTGAACAATTTCCTCTCCTGACCCCACCCCACCCTTTCAAATCTGCCCTAGGGGTTCCCCCAACCCCCCAGAGCAGATCTGAGGGTGAGTGGAAGGGGGGAAAGCAGAAGTTCTGTTGTGCAAACAGAAGTTGTTCGCAGTTGCAGTGACTTAGTTGGATACAACTCTTAGTCCAGTGGGAATTTTTAAGTATGTGCAGAATTAGGCACCCCTGCTGCTGAGGGGTCACCAGGTTCATGGTATACATTGTTCACTAAGAGGATACCTTTGAAATGTGACTACAAACAATTAATTGATATTGTTGAATTCGAGTATTTTAATATCATTTATCCTACTCCCAAGTAAAGTCAGTGGAGGCTGCTCAGATAGAGTGGAGATCAGTAGCCTTCACTGGCACCCTGAGATGCCAGACTGAGATACCTTCCCCACTCCACCTTTTTAAAGTAAGTATTTTCCCCTTCTAGAAATAAAGTTCTGATGCACAATGTGCAGGCAACCTAAGCTGGGGGTTGCCAACCCAACTCAAGCAAAGGGATGAGTATAATTATTATTTTTGCTCTGCAGCCAGAGGTTGGAAGGCCCCAGTCACTTCCATCTCCCATTGGCTATGATGTTAACTCCTCCCTTCTTTTCTGGAGGGAAAGATTTCCTTGGGCAATTTTTGCGGGACGAACATGGAGAAGAAAGAATTGACAAATCTTGAGAGTGTGGGGGAGTGCTGAGGTTGGTCCACTTCTGTTTTGGCTACCCATGAAGAGAGAAGCTATGAAGGGTTTTGCCTGTCTTGTCTTCTCTTTGCTTTTCTGCCCATGGAAGTGCTTATTGAAAAGTGGTTGGGGAGGTGGGAAGAGAAGCTTTCTTGTTGATGGAGAGGCTTTTTGAAAATCAGGAAGAAGTGTCAGGGCCTCTTTTCCCTCCTCTTTGCTGCCCACATAATAGGGAATTGCTGGGCTAAATCCTGTATACCTAGTATGTTATCTTGACTTGCACAGTAATTTTTATAGAAATAGAGTAGCATTCAGAACTGATATCATCATGTGAAGTTTAAAACAGTAATCTACTGCTTCTTACCACTGAGTAGCTCACAGCTCAGTCTGTCTCAGAAACCATATACTGTAGCAAATATGGAAGTTCGTTTTGCTTATCCCCAGCTTTCCTGCAGTACTAAAAATTAAGCTGACAAGGTAACAGCCAAGTTAGTCCTTTCCTTTGTTGGTTATTGGAATTAATGGCCTCAGTATTTTTTTCACAGGGTCTTCAGAACTGGCAGTATGCTTTTGCTCTGAGGGATTATCTTGTTCTGAACAGCTTGTTTAGCACTGATAATAGGTATGTGTGTCTACAGAGTTGCCACAGAGTTGGTAACGTGCCTCTTGGTTTTACAGAACCTACAATGACTGGAGAACTTACTGGGAATGAACAACATTGTTGAACTATTGGTTCTGTGATTTCTTTTTGTTTTGGCAGTGTCTCTTGTCTGTGAGTGCAGACTCAAAACTGATGCCTGAGAAATGTACTTCCGCATTGTGGTTAGCAATTAACATTGTGTTGCCATTTAAACACAGCAAAAAAAATCAGAAAGTTGTGAAGTGGCTTCTGATTGCTCCTGCATTACATGACATGTTAGTGTTGTGCTCACTGTTGCTATCTGATGTTGTTCTACCCAATTGTGATCCTACTTTGCATCTCCAAGAAATTAGAGAGGAACTCCTAAATGTTAAGTAGGAAGCTGTTTGACCCTAAGAAAATGCACGAGGTACTGAGTGAAAAGTGCAACATAAAAGAATGTATGAAGTCAAATCAAATATTTGTTCCCTGCTGGTAGCTAGGTGCTGTACATCACATGACTTCACCAGTGAAGATCAGTGATGCTACTAGAATTTATTAAACTTGTTGTGAAGGATCAACTTCATAGCATATGAAGGCTTGTGAAAAACTAGAAGGAAGCAATCCATCAAGCAAAGCTGCTGCTGCTCAGCTTCCACCATGCAAGTTCAATTTAAAATTAATAGGACTTGTATGAAAATTGAAAGTTCAGTCCATCTTCCCCGGGGCTCCTAGTGGTCTCCTGCCCAGAGACTGATCAGGCTGCTGCTGTGGAAATTTAGATGGCAAGCTTTCTGGATAGGAAACAGTTGTTTTGTCTATATTACTTTGTAAACCAAAATTTACAGTGATATAATAAGAACTCAGCATGGTTTGAGCATTTCTCCAAGCTTACCAACTTAGGTGGCTATGAAAAGATTGCCTTAGAAGGCCACTTGTACTCAAAAAGGTAAAAATGGTTAGGTTAGACCATAGCACTTAGACTCTTCTACCTCCTGTGAGACATGATAGGCAAGAACTGAAATATATTGCCATACTGCATAAAAGAGTTTGGATTTGATATCCCGCTTTATCACTCCCCTAAGGAGTCTCAAAGCGGCTAACAATCTCCTTTCCCTTCCTCCCCCACAACAAACACTCTGTGAGGTGAGTGAGGCTGAGAGACTTCAGAGAAGTGTGACTAGCCCAAGGTCACCCAGCAGCTGCATGTGGAGGAGCAGGGACGCGAACCCAGTTCACCAGATTATGAGTCTACTGCTCTTAACCACTACGTCACACTGGCAGAGGTATTCATCTCTTACACTGACATTTATTTACTTACTTATGCACACATATTTTCTCTTTCACAGATTGTTGTTGTTTAGTCATTTAGTTGTGTCCTACTCTTCATGACCCCATGGACCAGAGCACGCCAGGCAGTCCTGTCTTCCACTGCCTCCCGCAGTTTGGTCAAACTCATGTTAGTAGCTTCAAGAGCACTGTCCAACCATCTTGTCCTCTGTCGTCCCCTTCTCCTTGTGCCCTCAATCTTTCCCAACATCAGGGTCTTTTCCAGGAAGTCTTCTCTTCTCATGAGGTGGCCAAAGTATTAGAGCCTCAGCTTCAGGATCTGTCCTTCCAGTGAGCACTCAGGGCTGATTTACTTAAGAATGGATAGGTTTGATCTTCTTGCAGTCCATGGGACTCTCAAGAGTCTCCTCCAGCACCATAATTCAAAAGCATCAATTCTTCAGCAATCAGCCTTCTTTATGGTCCAGCTCTCACTTCCATACATCACTACTGGGAAAACCATAGCTTTAACAATCCGAACCTTTGTCGACAAGGTGATGTCTCTGCTTTTTAAGATGCTGTCTAGGTTTGTCATTGCTTTTTTCCCAAGAAGCAGGCGTCTTTTAATTTAGTGACTGTTGTCACCATCTGCAGTGATCATGGAGCCCAAGAAAGTAAAATCTCTCACTGCCTCCATTTCTTCCCCTTCTATTTGCCAGGAGGTGATGGGCCCAGTGGCCATGATCTTCGTTTTTTTGATGTTGAGCTTCAGACCAAATTTTGCGCTCTCCTCTTCCACCCTCATTAAAAGGTTCCTCCTCGCTTTCTGCCATCAGAAAATTTAGGCAGAGTACAAATCTTCAATGTTGTGCCGTAAATCAGAAACCCAAGCCATTAAAGGAAAGTCCAACTCACCTTGGCTTGTAATAGTTTGGTGTTGGCCTTCTCATCTGCTGTCTCCCCCCCTCCCCTTTCCAAATTACCATACTTTTACTGTACACACGTGCACACACATATGTCTGTATACAAGTACTTCTTTTTAAAAAAACATTTTTGTGGGTTTTAGATGTGCTTTATCAGTAAGTTTATTCTGTAAACTGCTTAGGGAGTTTTGTGATTAACCAGTATATATATATTTTCCTAACTAACATAAATAAATGTCAAGTTGTGAAGAGATGGGAAAAGGGAAATGACAACCAAGACATAAGCCAAGAATTGCTTCTAAGCTGCTCTTGTGTTGCTGGTATGCATTATGGGAAGCGTAAGGAGGGGGCTTTGTCATGATTTTGAAGATTCAATTGTTTCATATCCATTATAGTTTCCAGTGTCCCTATCCACAGTGAAAGGTCAGAGCTGTTGTGTTTATCACAGAGACATTTCTTGATTCACATCAGGATTTCAGAATGCTCTGACAGACTAGTCCACCACATGACTTAAAGTAGTCTGGCAGTGCAGTGGGTTTTCTGGAAAGAAGAACACCAGTCTGCATGCTGCCTTACACAAGAAAATAAAACTACAATAGAAAATGTAGTCTGAATCCAGATTCTTATTTCTACAAGTTCTGTGCCTTGAAATAAACAGGAGCGTGCTCCAAAACCTGCATTACAGAAAGCTGGAGTGAAGCATCCAGGAGCCGGGAAGGCTAAATGATTGAAACCCTGAACAGAAACAATTTGTTGAAGTCCCACTTGCAATTTTGTAAAGTTCAATAATCCCAATTTTCATCACCTTGGCTCCCCAAGCCAAAACAAAACAACCTCATTATTTACTTTCCTCATAAGGAAGGGACTCCAAGCCCTCAGTCATTTTGGTTTCCCTATTCTGAACCCTATATATCTCTTCAAAGATAAATATATTGAATATATAAAGGCAGACATATACAGAGGAGAGAGGGGCAGGCAGACACAAAGTGCTTAGGGCTATGTTGTTGAGGTTGGCTTTTATTTAATGCTGTTAGTAGCCTTGTGAATTTTGTAAAGCAGGACACATGTTTTAGGAGGAAAGTATTTGGAATACATGTTGCTTTATTTTCAACATTACGTTCATCATTTTTCGGTGCCACATCATACTGTGTTGGTGATGAGCTCTGCTGCTTGGATAGCCACGGCCAGCTCAGATGCAACTGTGTGTAAGTGGGAAGTTAGGTTTGTTTGGGGATTTTTGGTCTCAGTATTCTGCACTTAAACATACTGAATCTCATTTGTTTTATCCATTCACCCAATTTGGAAAGGTCATTTTGAAGCTCCTAACGTCCTAATAGCCTGTAGCTCAGCAGGTACAGCATATGCTTTGAATGTAAAAGGTCCTAGATTCATTTACTGGCATGTCCAGGTAGGACCAAGGACTGTCTAGAATCATTGGGAGACACATAGACAGTACTGAACTGGAGGGGTCAATGGGTAGGACTCAGGGTAAGGCAGCTTCCCATGTTTTAAATATACTGAGAAAATTGTTGTCATCCACAGACTTGAGTGTCTCACTGCTCACCCCTGACTTGAGACAATTATGAACTGGTTGAACAGCATCTGTCTCAATAAAGATTCTTGAAGGACACACTATATCAGCAAAGCAGATGATTCAGGGATTTAAAAGTCTCTTGAAACTGAATGTCAAAAGCCACATTTAAAAGTTTTCAGGGCTTATATTCTGAAATGTTTGAGTATGTGTGGACTTTCAAAATATTCCCTTTTAATAGTTACTCTGGTGAAATCTGAATGATCTGAGAAAGAAAAAAGGAACTGTGCTACTGGGCAGATCTTTCATATGACAAGTTATTATCTTCTCTCTGCTTATGCAAATAAATAAATAAAAACCTGACATCCTCTGAGAATATGAGAAAGTAAGCAGAAAATTCAGCTCTGATATTGATGGTTAAACCTGGAATCAGAAGCTTAATGGAAACAGAAATGCATTGCACTTCTTTTATGATGAGAGACCAAGACCTTTTCATAAGTCTAAAATAAATGAAATACTCTTGCAAAATTAGGTATATGCTTTTCATTTGCAAGAAATAATGGAGGGAGATGCTTTGTCTCCTGTTAATAACTTTACTTCAGTCTCCATTGTGGAGAATTAATGGAACACCACAGCAAGTTAGGCGAAAGTACTTGATTGTATACAAGAAAATGACATGAGCTTTTCATAGGGTCAGTGTTTATTGAATGGAGAGCAGTATGCCTCAGCTTTACATATAGAACCGTTCTTGGAAGCATTTAGAAATATTGTGGTTAATATCAAGCAATGTTGAAATTGTTTATACAACCATTTACCACAGCCATTGTTATCTGTAGCTTTGACATGAATGAGGCGTGTTTAGTTGCCTCGTGTATGTATTTAGAAAAGCATTTATATCCTGCCTATGGCCCTAATAATTGTAACTATAAAAAACAGACAAGTCAAAAAGAGAAAATACCCTGGAGTTGGAGAGATCATTACGAAACAATTTTAAAGAATTGAAATAGGAGGAAAATGGAGCCCACTTTGAAAGGAAGATGCATGGGGACCAGTTTGACCCTGGGAAGCAAATAATTCTTATAGGCCTCAGTGTTGGTGTAGCCTTACAGGTGTTGCTGCTCTACAGTTCCCATCATCCCTGACCATTTCCCATGCTTGCTGAGGCTGATGAAAGTTGAAATCCAGCAACATCTGAAGGGCAGCTAAAAGATAGGCTGCTCCAGTGGAAGAAATCAAGAATCTTGCCATGGGGAAGTAGCAGGCAGGAAAGTATCTCTATATCAGTTTCACACTGTCTTTGTTGGGATGAAGGAGGAAAGGGGGAATTTCTGCCTGTCAGCCTTGCAGGCCTGACAGGTTTTATGGCAAGCCTTAGCCTAGGCATTTTTCCAAAGCCAAAGCCATGGTAGGAGTAGCAAGAAGAGGAAGAAATTGGGACTTCTTCCATAACTTGCGGCAGATGCAAAGAGCTTTGTGGGCTTGGCACACAGAAATGTGCACAAGGCAAGGCAACAGACAAAGGATCACTTCACAGAGAGACACAATTTGATTAGAACTTTGATTTGATCGTCATTGAAATCTGGGTAGAGGTTCTTTGCCAAGCAGCAAGAGTCATATAACAGACATGGAATTCTATTCAGAACAACACAAAGAAGAACACATCTCAAGGGGAATGTGTTGTTGATGTTAGAATTAAGTGGGTTGTAACTCTAAGATAAGTTTATATTCAGAAGCAGCAGGGAGGGGAAAATGCAAACCCATCTTAGCTGGTACAGAAAAGAAATGCAAATGAGATGAAACGAATTTCCTTGAGACATCTAGATTCCCCGTCCCCCCTCAAAAAAAATAAAAATATTGAATGTAGCTCTGATATGGCAAAGTGAATTTTGTTCCCTCCTCTACCCATGTAAGGGAAACACATTTTTTTCTTTTTTCTTTAAAAAAAATAAACGATCAGATGTAAGAAATGAAAGAGCGAAGCCAAGCACTTCCTACATTTTACAGCCACATTTGTGGGAGCAATTTGGAAGCGGGTGGTGGTCAAAATGGTAACAGCAAGAAGTTCTGTTTCTAGTGATTGGCAGCTGATGGAAGACATCTGGACATGATAGTGTGATGATGATGATGATGATGCATAGCTCCCAGCAGTTTTGGAGTGGGAAATGACAACCACCTGAAGCAGTACTTCTTACTACCACTGTGCTACAGGCACAGTGTCCCCTTTTCTCCCTTATATCATCTCATTAGACTTCAGCCAATCTGGTATTCCTGCTAGTGCATTTGTGCCAGTGGCGGATCTTGGAGTCTCACATTTCAGTGGCACCCTGTGCGATGGCAAATTCTGCACCCCTCTGCCTCTCACGCTCCATTCTAAAACATGGTTGCGGCATCCCCAATGGCGCCCCCAAAGCTCTGCCCCCAGTGTGAACGACTATGCCTCTCTCCCTGTCCATCCTAGTATGCTGCAGTTACTCAGGTGGATGGAGAGCATGTGTGTGGTGCTGCTGCAGCACACTATCTGCTGCTGTTTGGAAGCCTAAAAGGATGTTTATCTTTGCATACCTGGATGTGGGACAATGGCTTTAGGTAAAAGAGAAAACCTTTCCTTGTGCCTTGCCTCTACTGATGGTCTGACTGGGGATGTTTTTGTCTAAGAAAAAACACGTTTATTAGTTAATGGAAAAATCATTTAATATGTGTGAATAGCTAATTATCTTTTTGCCTTTTATGTTTTTAATTTTTAATTTTTCTTATTTCCAAGACACTTGCAGCCATTAATAATTTAAAGAGTCTCTGTACAGTTGTGGAGGCTTACCTGGCAGGGGGAATACGTAGGGTTGTGAGTTTGGCCTTCTGATTACTGTGAATGGATCTATCACTTTGTTTTTGCCTGAAGTATCACCTGATTGAGGCCAGCGTTTGACAAAAGAACTTGAATGTTCCATTAAGGGCTGTGGATGTCTCCTGAATGGGTTATTCACCTGCAAGAGCACAGTCTCAGCCCAGCGCTGTTGCAGTGTAGATTTCTGTGAGATCATATAAAAGCAGTTTCAAGTTTGGAGATGGGGGAAATGGTAGTTGATTAAGCCTGAATCATTTTAGGGTTCAGTGTTCCTTGTGCCCTCCCTTTCTCAGTGGAGATCTGTCTATCAAAATCAAATGATTTTTATTTATTTAGAATAATTTTTAATTTAGATCCCTAAGCTGTGTATAGAAAAACAAAACAAAAGAAATCTCACCAGTATACAAGCAAAAAAATTAAAATCATGTATATATCTAATAAAACAAGTATGCTGAATTTAGAAAATTCAGTGGCAGTGGCAGGGCATATGTTGTGTATGTAGAAAGCTCAAGCGCCAGTCCTTAGTATTTCAAGGTCCATTGGTTTTATTCTTCTTAGGTTCATCATATCGGTGCTATTTTCTCCTCATAAACAAGTTTATGCACATTTGGTTAATGTACACATTTTTGCAAGCAATTTATCCTAATATAATGCAAATTGTACATTGTTTTCACCAATCTTCATTTTTGTGCATACTTTTAACTAATACATTCATTTTCCTAATCATTGGTTGGTTGGACAACTGCATAGCAAGATTTAGATAAGTGTGAACTTTGAAGGATGGTTATAATTCGGTTTTTGTATTGTTTCAGAAATTGTGAATTTGATAAAATCAGCTTTGAATGCAAACTGAATCAAATTTATCCCCCATCCCTAGCTGGCACCCATGGCACTCTTATCAATATATGAGCAGCAGCACCATTTTTTAAAATCCAAAAATCACTGTCTAGAGGGGTCAGCAAACTTTTTCAGCAGGGGGCCACTCCACTGTCCCTCAGACCATGTGGGAGGCCAGACTATATTTTTTTTTGGGGGGGGGGATGAACAAATTCCTATGCCCCACAAATAACCCAGAGGTGCATTTTAAATAAAAGCACACATTCTACTCATGTAAAAACACGCTGATTCCCGGACAATCTGCAGGCCGGATTTAGAAGGTGATTGGGCTGGATCCAGCCCCTAGGCCTTAGTTTGCCTACCCATGACTTGGTAGAAAAGTCTGGAAAACTAGATCAGGGCTCATAATTAGGCCCAGCGTTGGTCCCAATTTGGCCCACAAGACTATTTCCCCCAAACAATGCTCTGTTCCATAGCTGATGTCATTTGTGGTTTCAGGTGTGGTGCAAGTATGGATGCGGCTACAGGGGAAACGTCAAGAGCTTATAATGAGCTCCCAAGTCTTCTCAGCAAGTAGGGCTTGTTCCGGTGTCAATTAGCTGACTGGCACTGACAGTGAGCCCCACTGGGACCAACTGTTCTAGGGAGTGTCCCATTGGGAACTCCTAGTAAAGACAAGGGGACTCAGTGTCGGTACCGAACTACACTGTCAGTGAGTCCCTTTGAAGGCACACTTCCATTATCAATGCTGTGAGTTCTGCTTTGGCTGTTTGTAGGCATGGTTTGCACTTTGAAGGTGTGTGTGAATCCAAGCCATGCCTGCAAATGGACTTCAAAAGGACTCATTGGATCCATAGATCAGCTGAGCAGTGCTTCCAGTGATCTCCTTTGAAGACACACTTCCCAACCCAATCTAATAGCTAGATATTAGTATTATGCGACACTGATACTGGTATTAGTGAGAAATGCTGTTGGGGTTTTTTTTAAGACCCAAAGTGAGTTTGAAAATACTCTCCAGGTACAATGGGACCTCGGGTTAAGTATTTAATTCGTTTCGGAGGTCCGTACTTAACCTGAAACTGTTCTTAACCTGAAGCACCACTTTAGCTAATGGGGCCTCCTGCTGCTGCCGCGCCGCCGGAGCATGATTTCTGTTCTTATCCTGAAGCAAAGTTCTTAACCTGTAGCACTATTTCAGGGTTAGCGGAGTCTGTAACCTGAAGCGTATGTAACCTGAGGTACCACTGTACAATAATAATTACCCCCACCACAACAGATTTGATGCTTAGTTCCTTAAGACTATGTATGGGAGTTGAAGCCTATTTTTCCTAATGTAGATAGGATTAATAATATTTCCCATCTTTTTAATAGATAATGGATAAATTCAGTATTTTTATTTGGCATGCATATTACTGCAACGTGCAAAAATAATTTCCTCAGCAAAATGCCTGTCATAAAGCAACATGTCTGCTTTAATAGCTAGGCCATGTAAAGTTTGTAAGACAGAACATTTCTGAACCAAGGGAAAGAGAAAGATGAATGCTGGAAATCTGAATACAGATGTGAAATGTGAATTTTTCAAATGTAATTTTAAAGTTTTTATTATTATTACCATCCATACTCATCTCTGACATTAAATATGTGTGTGTCACTGTGTAGTCATAGTAGCATTAATTTTTAAAGCATCAGGTTTTTAAAAAAGCTGCTTTACTGCTGCAGAAGATGTCTATTATACTACAGTGGTACCTATGGTTAAGAACTTAATTCGTTCTGGAGGTCTGTTCTTAACCTGAAACTGTTCTTAACCTGAGGTACCACTTTAGCTAATGGGGCCTCCTGCTGCCGCCACACCACCGCTATGCAATTTCTGTTCTCATCCTGAAGCAAAGTTCTTAACCCGAGGTACCATTTCTGGGTTAGCAGAGTCTGTAACCTGAAGCGTCTGTAACCTGAAGTGTCTGTAACCCAAGGTATCACTGTACTGTTGTACAAGCCCCCATACAAATTAGCAGTTAGTATCTCACTAGTGAGGAATGACACTTTCTCTCCTCAGATGTTTTCCAATGACTATTTCCTTACTTTGGATGGGGAAGGTACAGACTATATCCACAACTAAACTTTGGCATTGTAGGAAAGATTCTCTCCTGCTTTTCCTTTTAACCTGTGGTCGTTGGCTGACTGGAATTGTAGCATTTGCTGCTTGACTGGCAGAGCAAGACACAAAGTATGATTTGAAATTGCTTCACAGTACATATCTGTAATTAATCAGTGGAGGGCTCTGAGCTCAGGAGTCCAGTCAGCATCTCCTTTAAGATTTACCGTGTCACATTCAGAGCGCTATTCATATCTCTGGAGGAAAACAAAGGTTCATCACACAGTCTCTTACATACCTACACCTCTCTGCACACTATAGCAAAGCAAATAGGTTGAAACTGGGAGTACATGGGGTTGGAAGAAGGCATCAAATCCTGCTCCGACCTGTATTCGTTACAATCGGGGCTGTTTCCATTCTGCTGAAGTTTAGTTTCTGCCAAATAGTTTGGCAGAATTATTTCTGCCAAATAGTTCCCCCGCACTTTGGTTTTTCATCTCACTTCCCACTGATAAAAATATATTATGCAACTAGTTACATGATTTGCATTACTTACATTCATTTCATTTAAAATAAAACATGAAAACAATGTTTTTAAAAGCCATTAATTACCTTTCTTGCAGACTTAAAAAAAAAGTCTGGAAAGTTTGGAATTCTCTGTAATCGCGGGAGCCTGGGCCAGGTGGTTAGAAAAGAAAATTTGAATAATAGATATAAAGCCAAGGACTGAAAAGTTGAAGTAAAGGAACAGAAGACAAAGGGGAAATATGAGCAATCAGGGGCATGGATGAAATTGTACTTCAAGGTCAGAGTCTCACTCAAGGCTAAGAAATGGGAAAGTCAAAAGAGCCTTTTAGTCAAGACATGTTATGCAGCCACCTTGCTCAAACTATGCAAATGGCCTGTTCAGAGCCTGGACACTGAGAAGCTGCCTTGGAACTCTATATATGCTACCTTCATTGTGGAAGAAAGGAAGTTTATACATGTACTAAGTCAGTGAAGAAACCTCCCATGCAATTTAGGTATGTCCTGGGACCATTTTGTGAAGCTGCTTTCCACATGGTGCAGCCATGATTCTAGAGTTGCTTAAGCAGGGCCACAGCTCTAGATGAACTGATCAGCAGGTGACAGGGCAGCGATATCCACCAAAGATCCTGGAAAGGTGG